TGCTCCGTGTGACCGCAGCCTATATATAAAGGTAAAGGTAAAGGTCTCCCTTGCTCGAAAGCCAGTCGAATCCGACTCTAGGGTTGCGATGCTCATCTCCGTTTCAAAGCCGAAGAGCCAGCGCTGTCCGAAGACATTTCCGTGGTCATGTGGCCGGCATGACTATATATATTTACTGTCAAATCACAGCTGACATAGCAGCCTCCTGTGGTTCCCAAGGCAAAAGACATTCAGAGGTGGTTTGCCATTGCCGGCCTCCACGTCACAACTCTGCTTAATTCCCAAGACCTAATGAGATCGGGCTAGCCTGGGCCATCCAGGTCAGGGCTGTTTAGACTAACGATGTGAAATTTCCTGAAATTTTGAAATCATGGTGGGGAGGAACATTTGTTTTCCCAGGAAAAAAAGGAAATTTTGGGGGGAGCCGCGGTGGCTCAAGTGGTTAAGACGCTGAACTGCAGGCTGTGGAAAGCCGGTAGTTCAGCAGTTTGAGACCTGAGTGCACCACATGACGGAGTAAGCTCCCGTCTCTGGTCCCAGCTCCTGCCAACCTGGCAGTTCGAAAGCAAGAAATTGCAAGTAGATAAATAGGGACCACTTTGGTGGGAAGGGAACAGCATTCCGTGCGCCTTGGTGTTTAGTCATGCCGGCCACATGACCACGGAAACGTCTTCGGACAGCGCTGGCTCTTCGGCTTGGAAACGGAGATGAGCACCGCAACCCTAGAGTCGGACTCGACTGGCTTTCGGGCAAGGGAAACTTTACCTTATATATATACACACACACACACACACAATTTATAACTTTACAAATAAATTTTACTATTTAGCATATTTATGAAATTTAAAACTATAAATATCTCTGTTTTCTATTGGAAAAATTATAAAGATCTGCAAACGCCTGCACCCTGTGCTGTCACGGCACACGTATCTTTAATTTGTGCTGTCTGAGAGTTTGGAAAAAGTAAAAGTTGAAGGCAGAAAACAAATTCTGCAGTAAATAAAAGAAAGGCTATTATTTGGACAGAAACAACCAGCATGTCTGGATATTAGCCAGACTTTATAATAGCCAGACTTTAAAACACTTAACTCTTTTATGACATATTATCATTAAATGCAATATAATGTATTAAAGGTTATGAAAATTATTTACATTTAAATTAAGAAAATTTTGTGTGTTTTCAAGAGCTGCAGGGGTTCTATAACAACAACAAACCTTTATTGGCATTATACACTAAGGAGAATGCAAGACATAAGAAGTACTCAATACAGTTAACACAAACCTCGCTTTTTAGAAGCCAGATACAAAACAGTTGCCACTATTTCAACAGCCACAGCATTTTTTGAGGAAAGAAGAAAAAGGGACTTATAATTATCAGATTGGCCTATTAAATCCTTTAACAACCGATCTAAATACTTAGCACGAATGTCCGCATAATAATCACAGTATAGAAAGACGTGCTTAGTACTTTCTACTTCCTTTCTTCCACAATTCTGTGTGTAAAAAGTTTTGGAAAATCTCCCTTGAAGTTCTGCAGAGGGCAACACATTAAAATGTGCTAACATACAAGCTCTGCGAGTACATAGATCATTGAGGGAGAAAAAATATGTTGCTATCATCCCAATTTGGATTGGTGCTATTAATTAATAAACCAATCTGATAATTACAAGTCCTTTTTCTTTCCTCAAAAAAAGCTGTAAGTGTTGAAATAGTGGCAACTTTTTTGTATCTGGCTTCTAAAAAGCGAGATTTCTGTTAACTGTATTGAGTACGTCTTATGTCTTGTATTATGCCAATAAAGGTTTGTTGTTGTTGTTTGCGGTGTGTGAAAGTGATGTGTGAAAGAGCCGCATGTGGCTGCCAAGCTGCAGTTTGGCCACCCCTGCATTAGAATAAACAGTATGATAATTCATGTTCATGATCAAATGCTGTCATTTGGAACCAGTGTGGTGTAGTGGTGAAGAGACGCGGACTAGTATCTGGGAGACCCAGGTTTGAATCCCCATTCATGGATTTTTGCTGGTGCGGCTCTAAGAAGCCGCACTTCCGACGCAGCTTTTCCCGCCGGTGTGACCAGGACCAGAGTTGCGGGGGGGGGGTGTTGTTTTGTTTTTGTAACCAGTGTTCCCCCAAAGTTCCCAATTTTCTCTTTGGAAAAATTAAGAAAGAACTCAGACTTTTACATTCAGTGCAAGTTGGAATGCGTGAAATGCTTTGTAAAACAATGTTCTTCTCACTCAAAAAGAATATATTTCATAGGAGTTTTTTTTCCTTCAGCAGTCTCCCAAATGGGGGGGAAAGACCTTGGGGCAAAAAAGAGACTCTGTCCTTTCTTTTTCCTGTCCCCCCCTCCCCAGGCCTTCACATCTCTAACCTGGACCAGCAACAACTGAGGAGCTTACTCTCCAGTTTCTGCCACAAACCAGTTCACCAAGAATAAGCCCAGTTATAGATCAGCAGCAGGCTGGCACCACCATTCATTGCTAAGCTGGGGCAGTTTGGCTCTGGACAACGTAGAGGCAAAAACAGGCTCTTGCACCAGAGGAAAGGAGACAGCAAGTGGGATGCTTGACTGCTTTTCCCAAGTCATGCATCACACTAAAAATGCCACGTCTTCCCCATAGGGCAGGTGGGGAGCTGACTACCCCTTCCGCCAAGTAAACTTGTATTGTCTTAGCTTCATAATGATCCCCATTCATAACAGAGTTCAGCCCATCAGGACCGTGCCCTTTGCTGCCAGGCCACTGCTGGATCTCCTGGAAGCGCATTGGGCTTGGCTTCAAGGGATTCCACCACATTCTTTGTTCCCATGGCTGCTGCAGATGTAGGCTTGCTTTGGGCCCAGCTGTGAGGCTGGCCCTCCGTGTGCAGCTGGACTGCGTGTGAGCCATTAGCGTGTGCATGCATGTAGGCAACCGCTCAGTCTCACTGCTTCCACAGGTCAGCATCGGAGCCTGGGCTCCAGCATTTCCAAGGTGCAGAGCCTGAAGCTGGACACCAGCGTCTGGAGCAATGAGATGGTGCAGGTATGGAAACGTTCCTGGAGTCTGGGAAAGGGGCCCCAACTGGAGGATGCGGAATGCAAGGGACTTTTGTGGGAAGGAAAGTCCAGGAGGCCAATTTTCACTTGCAAGCAGGGGTCGTTTCGTAGAAAAAGACCTAGGGGAACTCATTAGCATAACTCATTAGCATATGCCACGCCCCCTGACGTCACCGGAAGTGTGTCATAAGGCCACACCCCCTGACATCACTGGAAGTGTGTCATAAGGCCACACACCCCGCCCCCAACGGTCCCGGCCGCCGCCGCTGGCCTTGCAGCTCCACTGCCCCCCATGAGGGGCCCGGCGGTGGACCTGCAAGGCCGGCGGCGGGGCTTCGTCATGTGCCCCGCCCCCCGTACCTCACCCGGGGGAACTGCGATCCCCCGCGATCCCCCCCGAAATGACCTCTGCTTGCAAGGCTTGGGGCGCAGAGCTCTCTGGTGTTGAGGTGCTCTCCCTTGATCTGCTTTGGGGGTGTAGAATCGTGTTCTTGCTCCAAGTGGCACAACGGTTCTTTTTTTTTTTTAAGCCCTCTTAAAATAAACAAACAACAAAAGGAAATCTAAAATACAAAGATACATAAAATGCATAACCATCCTTTCCCCCTTTACAACCATAAACATAGACTTCCTTTAGCAGCAAAGGGCAGTTATGGTATTAATTCAGTCTACTCTATGGCCAGTTCCATCCTCTATAGCCCCTGGCCATACTATGTCTAATTCGAGTGTGTCTCTGCTTTTCTGGTATACTGTTAATCCCACAAGGGGTTTTTTTCCTATCAAGTCGCAACTGACTTATGGTGACCTCATAGGGTTTTCAAGGCAAGAAACATTCAGAGGTGGTTTGCCATGGCCTGCCTCTGCGTAGCAACCCTGGACGTCCTTGGTGGTCTCCCAACCCAAGGATTAACCAGGGCAGATGCTATTTAGCTTCGGAAATCTGATAAGATCCAGGTCAGGGCTCACAAGGGTATAGATGTCCTCAGGGCTTTTTTGGTAGAAAAAGCCCAGCAGGAACTCATTAATATAATAGATCACACCCAACAGCAGAAACTCATTAGCATATTAGGCGACACCCATGACAGTGCAGCTCATTAGCATATTAGACCACACCCCATGCCTTCCATTGGCTTGCCTGGGCAAGCCGGCCCTTGGACAGGCTGGGGAAGGCACGGGGGGGGAGTTTAATGGCCCCCCCCTTCTTCCAACCCCCCCTGGCCCGCCCACCTCAGAGTCGCTGGTGGGGGGTCGCTCTCCAGGCCTTCCCTCTGTAGCCACACATAGAGGTTTTGGCTATAGTGGGCGTAGCCAACTCTGAAGCCAGCCGGAACTCCGTTCCTGTGCGTTCCTGTCCCAAAATAGCCCTGGGTGTCCTTTATTTTCAACAACCAATCTTGTCAGTAAGAATATCAGGTAGATAAGTTAGCAGTAGTGCCTCTGTCTTGCAGGGTATCCGTTTTCTCAACCCAGCTGATACGATTTTCACAACTTGTTTCCAATAGCTGGAGGTATGCGCACATGCCCACCACCTATGAAAGACGTCTGCCACATTTTCTCCACACAATGAGTTCTGATTCCCCCCCCTCCCAACTCTTTCTCTCGTAGCTATTCATTGTGCTGGGGAATGAGCAGGTGAACAGGTTTTGGGCCGGCCGCCTCCTGCCCTCTGAGGCCTTGTACCCGGACGCCAGCACTGAGCAGAGGCGAGACTTCATCACCCGCAAATACCGCTACGGTCACTACCGTTTGCCACATCCTCAGTACAGCAGCCAGGAACACCTGTTGCAGGTATGGCCATGTTTTGCATACCTTATGGCCCCAGGAGTCTCCCCTGGGGCCCAGAGTCAATGGAGCATCGGTGAATACCAACACACTACCCCACACAGCCCTTGGATGTGCACAGGCAGGAGGAGAGAATCCATTTGCCCTCTTCCGGCACATTGTGATCACATTTCACAGCTGCAAGGAGCGTGGCTGTCCATTAGCTCCAGACTTCCCTTTGCCCAAGCGTGGGTTCCCGGTCATATGCAGATGGCTCTTTCTCTGAGTTGCTCTACCGATCGGTTCCCCTCTTTCAGGCGCTGTGTGCGGCTGTTTCTGGACCTGGGCTGCTGAAGATGATGCTGCAGTTCTTTGCCGCCACCACGGAAGGTGAAGTGGGATGTTACGAGGCTGTTTCGGAGGCTGGGAGAGACCGGCATCAGAGTGGTCCAAGCAAATGCCCTCTCCGCCTTCTCTCTGCATCTTCACATGTAGACAAGGAGGGGACGATGACGCCCATCTTTGAGCCCCCTCATCTGTCCTTAAACCCAGCTGCTAATCTGCAGTCAGCAGATTATTATAGGTTGAAACCTACCCTGAGCCTGCTTTGTGGGGAGGGCGGGATACAAATCGAAGGAAATTAATTAATTAATTAATTAATCCCTACCCATGCTGCTGTGGATCGTCTTCCTGACCTCCACCAGACCCGGCAAGGACGTTGCCAATTTATTTTTTTTATTTTTTTAAAGTGTCACCGTCTTTTATGAACATTCCTTTCCTTCCCTTCTATTTCAAATTATCCCTTGGCAACTTAAAGTGAATGATAAGAAAGTAAATACTGGTTGTGTACATACTGAGCTGCGGTGGCTCAAGTGGTTAAGACGCTGAACTGCAGACTATGGAAGGTCGGTAGTTCAGCAGTTTGGGACCCGGGTGCCGCATGATGGAGTGAGCTCCCGTCTCTAGTTCCAGCTCCTGCCAACCTAGCAGTTCGAAAGCAAGAAATTGCAAGTAGATAAATAGGTACCGCTTCGGTGGGAAGGTAACAGCTTTCCGTGCGCCTTGGTGTTTAGTCATGCCGGCCACATGACCACGGAAACGTCTTCGGACAGCGCTGGCTCTTCGGCTTTGAAACGGAAATGAGCATCGCAACCCTAGAGTCAGATTCGACTGGCTTTCGAGCAAGGGAACCTTTACCTTTACCTTTACATAGGTACATAAATGTAGTTGCCTTCTAGGTACGTAAATGTAGTTGCCCGTATTTAATCTGTCTTGGTCCATCAAGGCCAGTACTGTCTGTCTACCCAGACTGGCAGCGGCTCTCAGGCAGAGAGGCCTTTCACGTCGCTGACTACCAGATGCTTTTGACTAGAGGTGTCGGGGATTGAACCTGGGGCCCTCTGCATGCCGAGCCAGGGCTCTTCCACTGATCCACTCTCCCCCTATGCCACCGTGGCTGGAGATTTTTTTGGCTATCAGCCCCCCCATATTTAATCCATCTAGATCCCTTGTTCTTGGCCTTCCGGAGCTGTTAAAACCGTTCTGGTCCAATAAATTGGTCTCTCGTGAAGATTCGACTTCTCCTGCTGGTCTTTTATGAACTCTTACTACTTTTTAAATGTCTGTTTCCTTTTGCTAATGCTGCCTGGCTGCTCTATCGCTGTATTACAAGTGACTGCTGCTAAATTGCTGGTACTTCATTTTATTTGTCTGGGGATCAGGGGTCATTTCGTAGAAAAAGAGCTAGGGGAACTCATTAGCATAACTCATTAGCATATGCCACACCCCCTGACATCAGGGGCCCGGCGGTGGACCTGCAAGGCCAGCGGGAGTGTGAGGAAGCCCCGCCAAGGCCCTCCCTGGCCCCAGGCAGTCAGGGGTGGGGAGAGGCAGGGAGGAAGCAACTTACCCTCCCTCTTCTCCTGCCTCCTCCTGGCTGAATGAGGGCTGGAAGCGGGGCAGCCGGAAGTAGGGGGCGGGGCTTCATCATGTGCCCCACCCCCTGCACCTCACCCGGGGGAACTGCGTTTCCCCCCCCGAAATGACCTCTGCTGGGGATTATTCTTTCCCCCTCTGTATGACTAGTTGTGTTTTTAAAATTCTCAGCTGTATTGAATGCTGCTTTAGAGGAAAGGTGGGGGTTGAAATTTGCTTTAAAAATTCCCTCAAATCAGACTGGAAGAGGGCAACAGACATTTAACTGACCTGCAAGAGCTAGCAAAGGAAACTTTTTATTTACAGAGTTACCAAAAACACCCAAACAGTTTTGTCAATGATGTTTTGGAGAATGGGACTCTCCCCTACTTTGTAAAGTATGTTGTCGAAGGTTTTCACGGCCAGAGTTCATTAGTTGCTGTAGGTTTTCCGGGCTGTATGGCCGTGGTCTTGGCATTGGGGAACTCAATTTTGGAATTCCTACAAGATAATGACTCAGCCCTACCCCACCTTCCTGCGTAGATATATATTACCTGCCTACCGTTTTTCTTCTCACCTTGACACAGAGAGTACTCCATCTTTCTGTACAGCCCGGAAAATCTACAACAACTAATTTGTAGAGTATGTTTGCATTTCTCTGCCGGTCGGTCTGATCCCCCAAATCCTTTGAGGTGAATGCTCCGTGGCACTGTGTAGGCATTCCCAGAACAAAATATAGGAGTGATTCTGTACCTCTGATAGGCAGTCTTGGTGCGGAGGACATGAGCCCAGAAGGAGTCTACAATGAGGTCACCCAGCCAGTGGTGCGGTGTGGTTACCTGCACAAGGCCCCTACAGTGACCAGACTTGCAGGTGCCAAGAAGAGCCGAGAGGGTAAGTAGGAAGGAGGGGTAGGGCCCACTACTTCCTGCGGGAGGAGAGGTCCTGGTTGTGATGAGTGGTCTCTCCCATGCAGAATTTCAGAGGGTGTGGTGCTCCCTGGAGAAGTGTCTCCTGTTCTATGAGAGTGACAAGAGCTTGGAGCCAATGGGAAAGGTAGAAATGGAAGAAGTGATGTCATTGGGCGTCAACAGGATATATGCACCGGCCAGTCCTGGCTCCTCAGACAGGTACTTGGGGGGGAGGTCTCTCTCTCTCTCCCCCTCTCCCTCTCCCCCTCTCCCTCTCTCTCCCCCTCTCCCCCCTCTCCCCCCCTCTCTCTCCCTGTCTCTCTCCCTCTCTCCTTCCCTCCCTCCTTCAGATAGCTCACATTCTCCTCCGTTTTATCCAGTAATCTTCAAATAAATTTCTGTTGGAGCCAGGTCACATTTATGTCGCTGGCGAAGATGCCTAGGGATCCCAGAGCCCCCAGTGTGGTCAGGGGTCCTCTGGTGTCGGGTGCTCTTCTCCAACCCCCAATTACCCCCCCAAAAACCAGCCAAGAACACAATGTGCCTACGTGACCCAGAAGTGACATAGGGATATCAGTGACCAGGGGTGGGAGGGGGCATGACGCTCTGGTTTGGGGGCAAAACTCTATGGTAGAAGCTAATTCTACCACAGAGTTTTGCCCAAAAACCAGAGCGTTGCCCCCCAGTGTGCCCACGTCACTTCAGGGTCACGTGGGGACGTTGCGTTTATTTTCAGTGTTCCTCCCCGCTCCCGGTAAGTTCACCCCCCATCCCCTGCCAGCAGGTCCGAGGGACCTGGCACGCCACACAGTGAGACAGGAACGTGGGACCCAGCCTCCGTGAACAAAGCAGAGAACCGCAGGGTCGCTGAAGGATACAGAAGGCAGAGGGTGTGGCCTGGCTGCCACTGAACCGTGCAGCATCCCACCTGGTTCAACTGCGGGGGGCGGCGGAGGTGCTTTTATACAGTTTAGAAAAGAAACCAGACTTGCATTGCATTGCGTTGACTGGCTAGTCCTTATGTCAGTCATGAAGATCCTCCCTCTGTTCTGCATTCCAGCTGTACAGAGTGCTGATTGGCTGGCTCTTGTCTCAGTCTAGAATCCGCCTTTCTTGTGGAAGCCAGATTTTGACTAGATGGTAGGAGAAGAGGGGTTAAAAGGAAAATAAAGTACCGAGTAACAGAAGTCCCTTTCGTTGTCTTACCATGCCAATCCACCGGCTGCCCTGAGTCCTAACACTCTAAATCCTGCTGAGTGTGAAGGTCATCCCCAAGGAGGGGGGCCTGGAAAGAGCCCTGGAGAGCCAGTGTGGTGTAGTGGTTAAAGTGTCAGATTAGGATCTGGGAGACCCAGGTTTGAATCCCCACTCTGCCATGGAGGCTTGCTGGGTGACCTTGGGACGGTCACACACTCTCAGCCTAACCTACCTCACAGGGTTGTTGTGAGGATTAAACAGAGGCGAGGAGAAGGATGTAGGCCAATGGGTTCCCACTGGGGAGAAGGAAAGGTAAGGTAAAGGTTTCCCTTGCTCGAAAGCCAGTCAAATCCGACTCTAGGGGGCGGTGCTCAATTCCGTTTCCAAGCCGAAGAGTCAGCACTGCCTGAAGACGTTTCTGTGGTCAAGGAACATGGAATGCTGTTACCATCCCACCAAAGCGGTACCTGTTTATCCACTTGCAATTTCTTGCTTTCGATCTGCTAGGCTGGCAGGAGCTGGGGCCAGAGACGGGAGCTCACTTGGGTGGGATATCAATAACATAAATAAATACATTCATAGGCCCCGGTCACACGGAAGGTTTAGGGCTGGAAGAGGGACGGATTGGGGGCGCAACAAACAGGCGCGATCACACCGCAACATCTGGGAAACGGCGCGCACCTGTCCCCAATCCGGCCCTTCAGGCCGAAAAGGCGCATTAAAAAAGAACCTGCAAAAGAGCAGGACTTACCTGAAATCGAGATCGCCGGCGCGCTTGTCTGCAGGAGCAATCGAGGCTCCTGGCCGAACTGCGCATGCGCACACATGCGCAGCCGGCTGCCTCACTCTCCCTTCAGTGGCTCCCCCCCCCCCCCCCCCCCCTTTTTTTCGGGGGGGGGCGGGGGGGGGGGGGGGGAGACCTCTAGTTGCAGCGTTGCGGTGGGGCATTTTGAACAGGGGAGAACATAAGAACATAAGCCCGGTGTGGCAGGGGCCATAGAATATCATATTGTCTGGACTATTGATTTTAGTTATACTGCAGGTTACTCTCACCCTGAATTAAAACAAAAATTGTTAGACAGTGGTGTTGCTTCCAGCTGGACATTTAAGGCCACATTAAGATGCAAGGATATCCAGTTTTTATTACTGTTTAGAACAGCCACGGGAGGGGGGGGCATCAGAACAGGGCCATATTCCCAGTGTAAATCCCCCCCCCTCCCCACAGGGAGAAAAATCTGGTCCCACCGGCTACCATGGAAATTAGACGTTGGATGGAATGAGCCCTTCGTCTGATCCAAGAGGCCTTCCTTTGCACTCTTCTTTCCCATCTGACCCATTTTAAAACTCTTCTCCAGGGTGGGCCTGAGAGGAAGGGACTGCTTCCTTCGGAGCCCGGCTCTCTGTGACCCCCCCCCCCTTCACTTGCTCCAGCAGGCTTCCTTTCACACTGGATCTGTATCTGAGCAACGATCGAGTGCAGCCGTTGGGGGCAGACGGGCCAGACACGCTGCAGTCCTGGGCCAGTGTCATCAGCAAGGTAATGGGAGGAAACGGGAACACCTTCCCACCCAAGTCATTTTCTGCCTGTTTGGTGTCGTGGTTAAGTGCGTGGACTCTAATCTGGGAGAACCGGGTTTGACTCCCCACTCCTCAACTTGCACCTGGCTGGATGACCTTGGGCAAGCCCTAGCTATGATAAGAGCTGTCCTTGAAAAAGAGCAGTCTCTGTCAGAGCTAGAGATGTAAAATTTCCAGAAATTTTGAAGCTTGGAAAAAACCCTGGGTTTTTCCCAGAAAGAAACAGAACTTTTCGGAAAAATTGAAAAAAAATGCTATATCAGCACTTCTTTTTTCTTTTCCAGATTGAAAGTCATTCTGTTACTTTAGGAACATAAAATATGACTATGGACATTTTTACTTGGCATGAAATTATCACAACTAGCATATTAAAAATATAGTGTATCCAAACAATTATTACAAACAGAATACCCAACCACATGCAAAAACAAAACTGAAACCTTTTTATTTTCTTCTGACAATAGCACCTCCTAAAGGAAGAAATGCCTCTTGTTCTTGCATTGGAGAGTTCAGTTTGTAACCTAGGACTTGCTTGTCCTCAGTGCACAGAAATTAGATCAATCTGATACCATACATATTTTTTAGAAATGATTTGGAAAATATTTGAACACCTTGTCTTAAAATATTTCATCATGTTAAAATAAAATGTTCCATAATCAATTTTTTTTCTTTTCTTTTTTCAATTTTCCCGATTTTTCGGGGAAAAAACAAAAAAAAGGCTTCAGGGGAAAAAAAGAAAAAAACAATTTCCCCCCCGAATTTTCCCAGGTTTTTTCCGGGCCTTCACATCTCTAGTCAGAGCTCTCTCAGCCCCACCTACCTCACAGGGTGTCTGTTGGGGGGAGGGGAAGAGAAAGGAGTTCGTAAGCCGCTCTGAGACTCCTTTGGGTAGTGAAGGGCGGGGCAGAAATCCAATCTCTTCTCCTCTTCTTCTTCTTCTACCTCACAGGGGGTCTGTTGTCGGGAGGGGAAGGGAAAGGAGTTCGTAAGCCGCTCTGAGACTCCTTTGGGTAGTGAAGGGCGGGGCAGAAATCCAATCTCTTCTCCTCTTCTTCTTCTTCTACCTCACAGGGGGTCTGTTGTCGGGAGGGGAAGGGAAAGGAGTTCGTAAGCCGCTCTGAGACTCCTTTGGGTAGTGAAGGGCGGGGCAGAAATCCAATCTCTTCTCCTCTTCTTCTTCTTCTACCTCACAGGGGGTCTGTTGTCGGGAGGGGAAGGGAAAGGAGTTCGTAAGCCGCTCTGAGACTCCTTTGGGTAGTGAAGGGCGGGGCAGAAATCCAATCTCTTCTCCTCTTCTTCTTCTTCTACCTCACAGGGGGTCTGTTGTCGGGAGGGGAAGGGAAAGGAGTTCGTAAGCCGCTCTGAGACTCCTTTGGGTAGTGAAGGGCGGGTTATAAATCCATTCTTTTCTTCTTCTTCTTCTTTCCGTCCATCCTGCCCTGGAAGCCCCTGGCTCCTTTTGCCCACCTCCTCTCCCCATCAGCCCTGGTTCATCCCACACGTGGGACCTGTGGCCAGGCCTCGCCATCCGTGCATCGGCTGAAAGGCGAGAGGCCGTTCCCATCCATGCGTTGGTGGGGGGACGAGAGGCTAGCCAGCCTGGGTGTCCTCTCCTTCGGGAGTGCCTTTCTGTGTCTGATTCCCCCTCCCTTGCAGTGGTTCACCCCGCTCTGCTGTCACTGCCTGCTGAGCTACGAGTTCCAGAGGGTGGGCAGGCTGAGCTACAAATCCATGCTGAATCCCAGTCGGTGGCTGCAAGGCTTCTTCGTCCTTCAGAAGTCCCACCTCTTCATCTGCCCCAAGGAAGGGGAGGGAGCCGCCGAGGACAGCATCAATTTGCGGCAGCTGCAGGAGCTCAGTGAGTGCGGACCCGGCCCTGCCGGTGCCCCTGCTCTCTGATTGGCTGGGAGCGAGCAGACGGTTAGCGAGGGCGGCCTGGTCCGAGGTGCGGGATCCACACCCTTCTCTGCAGAACCCTGAACACCCCCCCCTTCTCCATCTTTTTGCAGCCGTCGTCCCCCTTGCCGAAGATCCAGAGAAGAAGGAGATGCTTGTCCTTGTGGAGATGGGGCGGTGAGCTGTGTGAGGAGGAGGAGGAAGGGGCCCTAGATAATCAGCCCTCGCCCGGTGATGGAGGCGGAGAAAGTGCACTCCAGAGCTGGCTCCGGGGAGAAAAATCGAGCAGTCTTTCAGTCTGCCTCTATCATTCCGGAGCCTTCTGTTATCCCTCCGTATAGATGGAGCCAGTTTTCCTTGACACCCGCTCCCCTTAAAATGGACATGTAGAAAGCCTGCAGACAGGGCCTCCAGTCCTGCAGGGTGATTCTGGCTGAAGCAGGGGCTTTCAGACATCCACAAAAGCGGTTTTTGTTTTCTTAATGTTAGACCGATTTCCCACAAGCGCTGCTCCACGCTCGCTCTTCCCTTTTGCCCCGATGGTACGTGTCGATTTCACACAAGCTGCTGGCGGCCGCATTTTCCCCGCGTCTACTCAATCCTCAAAAAACAGGATTGAGTAGACACAGGGAAAATCATGCAAACCGTGGTAAAATGCGGCAGCGCAGTAGCTTGTGTGAAATTGACACGTACCATCGGGGCAAAAGGGAAGAGTGAGCGTGGACTGGAGCAGCGTTTGTGGGAAATCAGTCTCAGTTTAGTAGGATGAGCCCTGTTCCCTGTATTTGGTAGCCCCCTCTGAGCCAAAAAAAAGAAAAGGGGTGGGGAGCTTTCTTGCTGGTTGTCTAGAGATGGCAGAGAACAGTAAAACACAAGGATGTAGCGATTTGGGAAGAACTCTGCCTTGGTTTCTAGTGAAGAAGGAGTTTATTTCATTTCATTTTCATCTGTTCCCCACCAAGTGGAGCTTGAGGCGGTTAACCACATAAAGACAAAGCATAAATAAAAATGCAAATATGGTATAAAATGATCAAACACGCTGGCACTCTGGCATGGCAATCAGATCAGCTGATGGTGAGCCCGGTAAGATTGCCTCGTTGGAATGCCTGGAGGAGCGATTCCATTTTGCAGGGGTGAGCAGCCAGGGCCAATGGCAGCAAAAAGGGCAGGGTGAGGTTCCCTGTGCGTTTGGTGCATGTAGCTTGCAGGCGGTCCATTCTATACACTTTTGAACCTGTGCCTGACATTTCCCCCAAAAGCACTTACATAAGAACATAAGAGAAGCCAATGTTGGATCAGGCCAAAGGCCCATCCAGTCCAACACTCTGTGTCACACAGTGGCCAGAAATACCAGGTGCCATCAGGAGGTCCAGCAGTGGGGCCAGGACATTAGAAGCCCTCCCACTGTTGCCCCCCCAAGCACCAAGAAGACAGAGCATCACTTGCCCCAGAGCCCCTATCTATACCTTGTGGCTAATAGCCACTGATGGACCTCTGCTCCATATGCTTATCTAATTCCCTTTTGAAGCTTGGGGGCATCTTCTATGGAGGGCCCATAACACGGACCCCCTAAATCCAATCTGCACATAACTTGGAGGGCATGCAGAGAAGCGTCGGGGAGGGCCCCTGTGTCTCTGATGTCTTTAGCTTACACAACGTCCATGCTATACACTCCTGAACCTCCTGAATCTGAGCCTGTCATTTCCCCAGAAAGCATTTTCCTGGGGGCACCTTCTTTGGGGAGTTGTATCTCAGACCCCATAAATCCAAACTTCACCAGACTTGGAGGGCAGGTAGAGGAGAGTGAGCCGGAGGTCCCCTGTGAGTTTGGTGTGTCTAACACATGGGGGGGGCATTCTGCCACATCACAGACTGAGCCAGTTTGGCACCAAAAAGTTCAGGACACCTAAAAGTTCATGACGATTTGTGGTTCATGAACTGGGCACACCATGAACCAAAATGAACCGCATTTTCCCTGTTCGTGCCCATCCTAGTCAGAGAGCCTGGAGTTGTGGGGGACAGGTAGAGTCCCAAGTGGTAGAGGGCAGCTGCCGGTGGAAGGGGAGCAAAAGTGAGAACCTGCCCAAAATCCCTGCTGTGCCTTCCCATTCAGATGGGGCTGTTTGCTTTCAGGACCTTTCATCTCCAAGGGGCCTCCCGGCTGGACTTCTCTGCATGGTGTGTGGCTATCCAGGCCTCAGCAGGAGGGCAAGGGAATGCCCTGCGGGACCAGCAGCTCAGCCGGAGCGGCATCCCCATCATCGTGAACAGCTGCATCGCCTTCATCACCCAGTATGGTGAGCGGCCCCTCCGAGTCCTTTCCCGTCAGGCAAGGATCGTTTGTACCGTAATGCAGAGATCCGTCTTTGAGGTTTTCACTACAGATGTTCCCAAGAAAGCGGTTTTGTTTTTTAACTTCCTGGTGGTGGGGTTTCCGTTGAGTTCAGTGTTCTGAAATACGGAGGCCATGCTTGAAGCTGTCTGGTGTTAGCCTATGTAGAAAAAGGAATGTTCCCTTGTAATGATGGCTGCCAGTTGGCAACCCTATGGCAGAGAAGGTGGGCTTCCGGCCACTCTCTGCTCCATCACTTGGAAGACAGCCTGCATGCACCCAGAGTAGTCCTGGTAGGACTCTAGTGTAAGCACCAGTAATGAGCAGCCACTGAGTCTGGAGAGCCCCTGTAGGGAGAAACGCATAAAGAGAGGGCCCCTGGCAAACATTCCTGTGGCGCATCAGTCGGCTACAAAGCAGGTCATGAGCAATGCTCTCTCTAAACTGTGGAGTCTTGTGAGCAAAAATTCTACTCTGTGAGCTACTGGCATTAAAGTTGTGAGTGAGTGATTTGGCTACGGCATAAATTAGTTTGCTCTGGAGCCATCCTTCCTGAGCTAAGAGAAAAAGGTGTGAGCCAGAGGCTAAAAAAATGTGAGCTAGCTCACACTAACTCAGCTTAGAGGGAACACTGCTCATGAATACCACTTGGGTGGGTGTCCTTCCTCAATCCCACTCTTGAAGCAGAGCCGGTCAGCTGGCAAAGGGACACCCAAAACAAAAGGAGAAGTCACAGGCAAGACAGCAGTAAAGAACCAAAAACGTCACTGAACAGAAAAAACAATAAAAAATTATAAAGAATTGTTAAACGCATATTGTGTCATAGTGATTATTAGAAGCATAGGCAGGGGTCATTTCCTGCGGGAGCACACAGGAGTGGAGCTCCGGCAGTAAGGAGCACAGGGGGCAGGCACATGCAACAAGCCCCGCCCCCTGCTCCCAGCAGCCCTCAGTTGGGCAATGAGGAGCAAGAAGCAGCCATGTAAGTTGCAGAGCCCCCCCCCTCCCCGGCCCACCAGGTACAAGCTCTCCCTCCTCTGTGAGGGTATATCTGCATGCCCCCCCCCCAATAGCTAGCAATCCAAAACAGTCCAGTGGTGCCTGAGCGGTGGGTGTTGCCTTCTGACACACTTCTAGTGATGTCAGGGGGTGTGGCATATGCAAAGAAGTTATGCTAATAAGTTATGCTAATGAGCTCCTGCACCTCTTTTTCTATGAAACAACCCCTGAGCATAGGTATATTAAGGCAAAAAGTCCTCTTAAAGCCATAGAGTCAAAGGAAACAATCCTCTTATAAAACAAAAAATGTCTGTGAAAGTACATATATCCACAGTAAATCTGAAGTATTCCTGTAAGAAGTTCAAGGAAACAGACGGTCCTCTTATTGAAAGGCAGTAAATCATCAGACGGATAGTAACCTGTTTTGAAGTGAGATCTTTCTTAAGTCTAGTTGCCATAATAAAACGTATGAAGGCAGGGACCTTGCTCAGAAAGTCTCCATAATCTCTAAATACTGCAAGGTGACTTCGAAACAGGTTCCTGTCCGTCTGATGATTTATCTGTCTGTTTCCTTGAACTCCTGACGGGAAGACCTCAGATTTACTGTGGATTTATGTACTTTCACAGAAGATTTTACGTCTTTTAAGAGGAGTGTCTCTTTTTGACTCTATGGCTTTAAGAGGACTTTTTGCCTTGATATACCTGTGCTTCTAATAATCACTTTGACACAAGGCTATTTTTGGGCAGGAACGCACAGGAACAGAGTTCCGGCTGGCTCCCAAGTTGGCCACGCCCAGCAGGAAGTCATTAGCATAATAGGCCACACCCAACAGCAGAAACTCATTAGGATTGGCTACAATTAGGGGTGTGTGGCCTAACATGCAAAAAGCCCTGGGTTTTGACAACAAACAAGGTAAAGAGAATAAGAAGCAATAGGTGGGTGTGGCTGGATGACCACACTTCTGGTAACATGGGGGTGTGGCCTAATATGCTAATGAGCTGTGCTGTCGGGGGTGTGGCCTAAAAGGCTTATGAGTTCCTGCTGTTGGGTGTGGCCTATTATGCTGATGAGTTCCTGCTGGGCTTTTTCTACCAAAAGAGCCCTGCTTTGACACAATATTTTGTTATTGTTGTTCAGTCGCACAGTCGAGTCCGACTCTCCGCGCCCCATGGACCAGATCCCGCCAGGCCTTCTGGTCTTCCGCCGCTGTCTGAAGTTGGCTCAATTTCATGTTCGTTGCATCTATGACACTGTCTAACCATCTCATCCTTTGCCGTCCCCGTCTTCTTTGACCTTCAATCTTTCCCAGCATTGGGGTCTTCTTATATGCCTTTAACAATTGCTTATAATTTATTGTTGTTTTTTCTGTTCAGTCACAGTTTTGGTTCTTCATTGCCGGCATAGGCACACATGCACCCAGTGTTCAGCCTGAGCACTTGCAGGGTGGTGCCGGAAGACCTGGCTATAGCCTGATCTCATCAGTTCTCAGTCGTGAAGCACGGTAGGCCCTAGTTTGTACGTGGACAGGAGGCCACCAAGGAAGTCCAGGCAATGGCAGACCACCTCAGTTCACGTCTTGCCTTGAAAATCCCTCAGGATTCCCATAAGCCGGTTGCAACTTGTCGGTGCTTTCTGCCACCAGAAGACCTGCTTGTTTCTCCTGCCATTTGGAGCTCAGGATTAAGTATGGAAAGGGTGGGATTTAAGGACTTCCGGTTTATGGCGGCGCGCTAGCAGACTCACCTCCCAGACCTCCCGGGGGTGAAGCTGCGCTCCAGCCGAAGAAGGGGGTGCGCAGGCTCGCAACCCCCCCCCAGGGGCCCGGCGAAGGGACCCTGTGGCCATGGAACTTATAAGAGGTTGCTTCTTCGAGGGCGGAATGCCTGAGAATTGAGGCGCCTCTTCATTCCGACGGTTCTCCGTGCTGCGAGACCGAAGGGGCTTAGTGACACCGACCGGGACGAGCGCAGGAGATCATGCGGCAGAAACGAAATGAAAGCGAGGTCGAAAGACCGCTTATGAACGTGAGTCAATTTTGTAGCGTTTAAAGAGGAAAAGATAGCTCCCCACCCCACCCCACTGAACGGGGGGGGGGACGAGCGGGGGAGGGACGCCTCCCATGCGCATGAATTTGTGAGCGATTGAGGGGGGGAGCGGAAGAAAACACGAGGAAAACTGCCTAGAAAGGGTGGGATTTAAGAGGCTGAACTAATATGATCCTTTTGCTGGACTTAATGTTTATATTTATTTGTGAACTATTTCACCACCAGCGGTGTTTCCGTGTGCAGGGGAAAAGATGCAAGGAAGCATATCCCCACCACACAGACCTCTCAAAACAGGAAGAAAGGGGTTAAGAGTGGGGAAAGAGGTTGTGGTTAAAAAGGGACAAGACCAACACTCCCTCTAAGCCGTGGAGTCTTGTGAGCAAAAATCCTACTTTGTGAGCTCCTGGCATTAAAGTTGCGAGCAAGCGATTTGGCCGCTGCATAAATTAGTGTGTTCTGGAGCCATCCTTCCTGAGCGAAGACAAAAACATGTGATCTGAAGGCTAAAAAACTGTGAGCTGGCTCACACGAACTCAGCTTAGAGGGAACACTGGACAAGACAGACTCTCCTTGCCGGTCCTCCACTCAAGATGGCCACCTTGGCAGTTTGATTCTCGGGTTCCTGCTGGCGTACCTAGCATGTGTTTGTGCATTTCTCTCTCCTCCTTCCCTGTCTGGGAGAAAGATGCGATAAAAAATGTGTTCTGTTTATCTGAGGTGTGATAGTCATAAAGACTCTTGCTGCTGTTACGACGATACGTTTGATGATTGTCCCCAAGCAAAAGTTCAATAGCCTTTTCTTAATGCAAAGCGTGGAAAGGTGAGGGAGGTGTCAGTGAATCTGATTATGTTTAATTGTGCTCTAAGGGGATGTGGAGACATTGATTTCATTATGCCTTCTGAGGCCTTTGAATGGTGGTGGCAGAAAGGGCCGTCGAGCCACAGCCGACTTACAAGCAGGGGTGGTTTTCCATTGCCTGCCTCTGGGTAGCGACCTCAGACTTCCTTGGCGGTCTCCCATCTGCTTAGCTGCTGAGAGCTGACGAAATTGGGCCATCCAGGTCAGGGCTTTGGATGGTAAAAAGGTAAAGGTTCCTCCTTGCTCGAAAGCCAGTCGAATCCGACTCTAGGGTTGCGGTGCTCATCTCTGTTTCAAAGCCGAAGAGCCAGCGCTGTCCGAAGACGTTCCCGTGGTCATGTGGCCGGCGTGACTAGACGCCAAGGTGCACGGGACGCTGTTCCCTTCCCACCGAAGGGGTACCTATTTATCTACTTGCAATGTCTTGCTTTCGAACTGCTAGGTTGGCAGGAGCTGGAACTAGAGACGGGAGCTCACTCCGTCATGCGGCGCACTCGGGTCTCGAACTGCTGAACTACCGACCTTCCACAGCCTGCAGTTCAGCGTCTTAACCACTTGAGCCACTGCAGCTCCTCCTTGGATGGTACAGGCTGTAAATTAAAACCAAAGCTGTAATATTTTTTCTTGGGCAATTCATTGTTGGATGTAGCCATCTCGTTTGCCTTTTGTGCATGCACACACTTATACACAAACACACACACACACACACCATTTCCCAACTGGAGTCTCTCTGTCCCTCCCCCTGCTCTTCCATTAGGGTTACGACATGAAGGAATTTATCGGAAGAATGGAGCCAAATCCCGCATCAAGGCGCTGATGGAGGAGTTCCGACGGGACGCCCGAAATGTCAAGCTGCGCATCAGTGACAATTTCATTGAGGATGTTACAGATGTGCTGAAGAGGTTCTTTCGGGAGCTGGAGGATCCCGTGTTCACCACGTACCTGCACCCCCAGTGGAAAGAAGCTGCAGGTATCCATCTTCTCCTTCTACTACTGCAGCCAGCTAATGGGTCTCTCTCCATACCGCAGATCCAAAGGGTGTTGGACCCGTGAAATGCAAAGGCCCAGGTGGTGGTCTTTAGATGAGCAACTGCAGAAATTGGATCCAAGTTGGTTTGAATCTGAAGATTTGGGGTATATTATGGCGAGATGATACCAGTTACTCTGTTCGCGGGAACCCTGGACAAAGGTAGTTCTCTAAATTGCTTTTGTCCAGAGTGCTTGAAAACAGAGGCCTATTTCCCACAAGCCGCTGCTCCGCCCTCGTGCTTCCCTTTCCCCCGATTACATTAGTCAGTTTCTCACTACTTGCTGCGCGACCGCATTTTGCCCCGCAGCTTCGCCCGATTTTCCCCGCGATCCTCAAAAAACAGGATTGAGGAGACGCGGGGGAAATCGGGCAAAGCCGTGGGGCAAAATGCGGTTGCACAGCAAGTAGTGGAAAACTGACTAATGTAATCGGGGGAAAGGGAAGCACGAGGGCGGAGCAGCGGCTTGTGGGAAATAGGTCAGAATCTGCTAATGGGAGCTGAGCTTGGGAGTGTAGTGGGGGGGTCTTTGCGGGAGAGCAAGAGAGAACCCCAAAGACAAAGGACATTCTTGACAAAGGACATTCAGGCTGAGCAGCGGCACGAAGAAGTTAGAATACCACATTATTCTTCTTGGCTGAGGAATCTGCAGTGTTTCACATAAGCACCCCGTTTTACGTCTTAACTCCTTTAAACAGCTAAACGAGTCGTGAAGGTAGAGAGGCAGCAGGAAAGAGGGGGGCTATCCAGTGTTTTGAAAAGACTGACATATGAATGAATGATTATCTGCCCTCTGGGAAGAAATTGGTGGTGCGCGGAACTCCTGGCTGTCAGGAAGCAGGTTCATTCCTTGGAGGCTAGGGAGAAGCTAAGAAGGACACGTGTGTGGATGAGATCTGCCAGAAGTCCTCCTCCTGTTGTGGAGACTGAGGTTCCAGGCATCAGGCTGAAGGGGAAGGAAATTAGCCCTTAGATGTGACCCCTACCTCGAATGATGAACCAATATCCTCTTGTACCAGTGATACCCCTCTGGGGTTGGGGGAGGTGGGCTTTTGATAGTGGGCTGGGCAGTTCAGTCATTAGGAGTATAGAAAGTGGGGTCCGTGATGGGTGTTTTAACTGCCTGGTGACTTGCCTGCCTGGTGCCAGCATGTGAGCGTCACAAGCTGTCTGTGCTTATAGCTGCTTTGCACATTATACAGAATTATTTAGGACAGTGAAAACCAAGGCCAATTGTGCAGCAATGGCGAAAAACACAAACTCCACACTTAAATGGAACTGAAAATAAAACAGCCAATACTGTAGTCAGTGTTCCCTCTAAGCTGTGTTAGTGTGAGCTAGCTCACAGTTTTTTAGCCTCCGGCTCACACCTTTTTGTCTTAGCTGAGGCAGGATGGCCCCAGAACAAACTAATGTATGCAGCAGCCAAATCGCTCGCTTACAACTTTAATGCCAGTAGCTCACAGAGTAGAATTTTTGCTCACAAGACTCCACAGTTTAGAGAGAGCATTGCTCATGACCTGCTTTGTAGCCAGAGTAATGTATGCAGTAGCCAAATCGCTCGCTTACAACTTTAATGCCAGTAGCTCACAAAGTAGAATTTTTGCTCACGAGACTCCACAGTTTAGAGAGAGCATTGACTATAATGCCCCTGTCTGGATCTACGGTGCGCTTTGTTTGGAATACCATGTGAAGTTCTGCTCATCGTATCTCAAAAAGGACATGGCAGAGCTGGGAAGAGTACAGAGGAGGGCAAGCAAGATGATTACGGGGTTGGAGCACCTTCCCTATGAAGAAAGGCTGAAGAGTCCGGGACTTCTCGGTTTAGAAAAGAGATGACTAAGGCGGGGACATGATAGAGGTTTATAAAAGTACGTGTGGGGTAGAGAGGGTGGGCAGAGGCTGCGGTCCCAGACAGTGCTCCCTCTAAGCTGTGGAGTCTTGTGAGCACAAATTCTACTTTGTGAGCTACTGGCATTAAAGTTGTGAGCCAGGGATTTGGCTACTGCATAAATTATTTATTTATTTATTTATCACATTTATATCCCGCCCTCCCCAATGGGCTCAGGGCAGCTAACACGGGGAAGGTAATTAACCATGCCATAGTAAAAACATATAATACATAGTAAGCTTAAGACATATAATACATAATAAAACATCCGACACTTAAACACAACGGTGCTCAATCAATACTAATGTCATGAGTCCAAGATGCAATCCACACAGTTCCAGGTGATACTTCCCATGATGTTTGTGCCCAAATTAGATTGCTTCGGAGCCCTCCTTCCTGAGCTGAGACAGAAATGTGTGAGCCGGAGGCTAAAAAAACAGTGAGCTAGCTCACACTAACTCAGCTTAGAGGGAACACTGGTCACAGACACTAAATAATCCACTTTCCGTGCATTTGTATCTTACTGTGTGAACTGGAAAAATCCAGTTGGAAAGTGCACTGAAAGTGGGTTTATTTAGTGTGTGTGACCACAGCCAGAGAGAACTTTTTGTCCCCCTCCCAAAATACTAGAAGTTGGGTGCATCAAATGAAGTTGATGGGAATAGATGCAGGCTGGACACAAGGAAATGCTTCCTTACTCGACGAGCAGTGTTCCCTCTAAGCTGAGTTATTGTGAGCTAGCTCACAGTTTTTTAGCCTCCAGCTCACAGATTTTTGTCTTAGCTCAGGAAGGAGGGCTCCAGAGCAAACTCATGTATGCAGCAGCCAAATCGCTCTCTCACAACTTTAGTGCCAGTAGCTCACAAAGTAGAATTTTTGCTCACAAGACTCCACAGCTTAGAGGGAGCATTGTCGACGAGTGATTAAAATGTGGAAGTTGCTCCCAGTGAATGTAGTGATAGCCATGAGAATGGATGACTTTAAGAGGGAGGTTAGACAGTTTCATGGAGGACAGGTCCATTAGCAACTACTAGCCATAGTGAATAAAGAGAACCTCTATATTCAGAGACAGTAAACCTCTGAACGTTAGGAGGCAACATCTGAGGAAGGTTTTGGTCTCTGTGCCCTCTTTGTTAATCCTCCAGGGCAGCTTGTTGGTCAATGTATGAAGCAGGATGCTGAACTAGATGGACCCTCATTGGTCTGATTTAGCAGGTTTTTCTTATGTTGATTTTATAGCTTCAGCATACTACATCTGAAGAAACCAAGACTGTGCTAGTTCCTTTTGCATGGGGGCTCCACAGAGTTAAGCTGCTTTTGATCTGGGAGACCAAGATTGCGAATAATCAATACATGCTTAGTTGAATTCAAATTATGAATTCGAAAGAGAGCATGAATGTTATTTGGTTTTGTACATTGTGCATATATATTCACTCGATGGATTCCATTGCTTACCTCCATTGCTTCCTTGTTCCCATTAGCAAAATCAGTTAAATGGGATTATTATGGATCCAGTCCATGGAGTATCTTTAAGTTGAAGATCAGGCACCGATTTAAGGGCTTGAAGCAACAGTGGAAAGATATCAGCAGGTTCACCCTTGGGTCAGTTTCCTGACCTTGCAAAAGTTTACTTTTTACTTACTGACCTTTTTTTTTTAAGTTTTAAAAAGGAGAACACACGGCTGAGATAAATTCATTGGGCGCCTCTTCCTGTGACCTTGCCAAAGGAGAGGAGGCTGTGTCACGTGGCTCTGCTGCCAGTCTGTGCGATTTTCAAGTCTTCTTTGGTGAAAATGCTCCATTCCATAGCAGATATGGACTTCTGGCCCACTTGTTCTCGCTCTTCATCTGAGAGGGGGCTTTTTTATCCCTGCATTGAAGACTAGGGAAGACGTAGGGTTGCCAGATCCAGGCTGGGAAACTCCTGGAGATTTGGGGATGGAGCCTGGGGAGGACGGGGACCTCAGTGGGGTACAAGGCCACAGAGCCCACCCTCCAAAGCATCCCTTTTCTCCAGGGGAACTGATCTCTGGAGTCTGGAGATGAGCTGCAATTCCAGGGGATCCCCAGGTCTCACCTGGAGGCTGGCATCCCTACGAAGAGTCTTGCCTCCCAGGATACTCACTGGCTCACGACCAAATGAGATTTCTTCACTTGCTGCTTCCTTCAGTTTCCAGTAGATGGTGCTAGCAGATCTTCAGCTGCCGTTATAGTTACACGAAACAATTATCTCGGAGAGCTTTGCTAAATGTATAGTCTCTTATTATTAATTTAGGATTCCACCATTTAAAGCCACTAGACATGGACTTTATGCTCTGTGGGATTTTTTTATTTTTACGGCAATATGGATTGTTTTGTTTGGAAAACACCAAATAAAATATGCCCCCCCCAAAAAACCCTACACCGGAGATATCCAGGGGTGAACTTGGCCAGAAGGCACTGGAAACCGGTTTCAGCAAGCTGGGGGAAGATGTTGTTCCCCCCCCCCCCGGACAAAAGGGTCTGTTGAGACCTGAGTTCCATAACAGAGGAATTCGACCATAAACAGCAGAGTTTTGATTCCTAATGAACAGCCTTTAACAGAAAGGGAAGCTTCCAGTGTATTATTGATCAGATGTTTCTGTACTGGAATTAGGGTTGCCAGATCCAAGTTGGAAAATAGCTGGAGATTTTTGGGGTAGAGCATGAGAAGGGCGGGGCTTGGGGGGGGGAGGGACTTCAGAGTCCGTCTTCCAAAGTGGCCACTTTCTCCAGGTGAAGTGATACCTGTCACCTGGAGATTAGTTGTTAGCAGTGTTCCCTCTAAGCTGAGTTAGTGTGAGCTAAAGGTAAAGGTTCCCTTGCTCGAAAGCCAGTCGAATCCGACTCTAGGGTTGCGGTGCTCATCTCCGTTTCAAAGCCGAAGAGCCAGCGCTGTCTGAAGACGTTTCCATGGTCATGTGGCCGGCATGACTAAACACCAAGGCGCACGGAACGCTGTTACCTTCCCACTGAAGTGGTACCTAATTATCTACTTGCAATTTCTTGCTTTCGAACGGCTAGGTTGGCAGGAGCTGGAACTAGAGATGGGAGCTCACTCCATCATGCGGCACCCAGGTTTCGAACTGCTGAACTACTGACCTTTCACAGCCTGCAGTTCAGCGTCTTAACCACTTGAGCCACTGCAGCTAGCGCAGTTTTTTAGCCTCCAGCTCACACATTTTTGTCTTAGCTCAGGAAGGGATGGCTCCAGAGCAAACTAATTTATGCAATAGCCAAATGGCTGTCTCACAACTTTAATGCCAGTAGCTCACAAAGTAGAATTTTTGCTCACAGGACTCCACAGCTTAGAGGGAGCACTGGTTGTTATCCCAGGAGAACTCTAGCTACAACCTGGAGGTTGGAACCCCTAACTGGAGTGAAGGTGAGGTTTACAGCAGGAACTTCCCGTGGCTAAGCAAATTCTCAGTGGAAAGTGTAGCGTTGTAAAAAAGGGAAAACATACCACATTCTTTTAAGTCTCTTATCTGATTTCCAACAGCAGAAACGTGTTGTTCTGTGGCTCCTTCTTACTGACTTTTTTGACATTGTTATCATTTCATTCACTGCAGCCACTGGAGGTACAATTTGAAAGAACGGCACAGGGGTAGGCAACCATGTTTTAAAAGATCATACCTCTTCTCTTTAAAATTTAAAAAAAACAACCCAAATTACCAGTCTTTCTGGCTGCACAGATGAACTTGGGAAGAGGCCGTCGCTCCCTGAGCTTTGTATATAGAAGGTCCTGGAAGTATTTCCAGCTAACAAGATATTCAGCAGCAGGACTAGGAAAGTCTTCACCAGATGTCTTGGAAGAAGCCAGGCAGATGAACCTTTTCCACAGGCTTTCTTCTAGTCTATGACCTCAGTAGCTCAGGAGACCCATTGTCACCCAGAATGCCCTGCTTTGCCATAGGGCACAAAGAGTGTAACTTGGCACTGGCAACACCCTCTCAATAACACTGCTACGATAACACTGCCAAATGGAGTTAGAATCATAGAATCACGGAGTTGGGAGGATCCCATAGAGGTCATCTAGTCCAACCCCCTGCCCAATGCAGGATCAGCCTAAAGCAGCCCTGACAAGTGTTTGTCCAGCTGCTGCTTGAAGACTGTCTGTGAGGGGGAGCTCACCACCCCTCCAGGCAGCCAATTCCACCGCTGAACTACTCTGACTGTAAAAAAAATGTTCCTAATATGCAACCGGTGCCTTTCTACCTGTAATTTAAACTCATTATTTTGAGTTCTATCCTCTGCTGTCAACAGGAACAGGTCATGGACAAGAAACCACAGTGATTGATTAGATCAAATAATATGGCCCCGGGCACACGGGCCGGATATTGCGGGGGGGCGTGGCTATTTGCTCCAGCGCAGTTTGATCCGCGATTACGCGATCAGACACGCCGGCAGCACAGCACGGGTCCTTCCCTCGGCGCCAGCGGGTAAACGAGGAGCCGGAGGGGAATGCCGCGCGCCAGCGCGATCACACCACAGGCGTCTGGAGGCAGCCCGTGGCAAACGTTTACTAGTACCTTGGAGGCAGGGCTATTTTGGGGCAGGAACGCACAGGAACGGAGTTCCGGCTGGCTCCTGAGTTGGCCACGCCCAGCAGGAACTCATTAGCATAATAGGCCACACCCAACAGCAGAAACTCATCAGGATTGGCTACATTAGGGGTGTGTGGCTTAACATGCAAAGGAGTTCCTGCTACAAAAAGGCCCTGGGTTTTGACAACAAACAAGGTAAACAGAATAAGAAGGGAAAGGTGGGTGTGGCTGGATGACCACACTTTTGGTAACATGGGGGTGCGGCCTAATGGGCTAATGAGCTGTGCTGTCAGGGGTGTGGTCTAATATGCTAATGAGTTTCTGCTGTTGGGTGTTGCCTAATATGCTAATGAGTTCCTGCTGGGATTTTTCTACAAAAAGAGCCCTGCTTGGAGGTACTAGTTTTTAAATGCGCATTGTCGGCGGTAAGCCACGGGTGCACTCCACTTCCCAGATGTTGGGGTGTGATCGCGCCTGGATCGCGCCCACCTTCCGTACCTCTCCTGCGGCAACTTTGCCGTGTGACCGGGGCCTAACTTCATCATAAATTGTGTAGTCTGCATCATTTACTCTACTTGTATTAAAGCTCGCAGAGTTCACTCCTCCTGAGTTTTAGTCCCCCTGTGTTGCATGGCACCTATTTGGGTACCATAGTGCAGGGCACACAAGCCATTCTTCTTTCCCAAATGTCTCACCCTTTGAAACAGTCTATTATGCTTCTTGGGCACAGCCCCAAGGCACAGCTTTCTGATAGCAGGCAACACAATAACTTTGGTGGCATTACCCAGTTTATAATGCTGTGCTCTTTTCCCTTCCAGAAATTACTGAGAAGCCCCTGCGGTTGGAGCAATACAAGAAGCTGATAAGCCTCTTGCCTCATGTCAATCACAGGACTCTGGCTGCTCTGATTGGCCACCTGTACCGGTTAGTCAGTCCTCTTCCTGGACAGTTGTTGCAGAAATGTCACCTCTTGCATTTTAGGACTCTAACTTAACCCCATCACCACCACCACCGCCTTTCAGGCATTTGTGTAGCTTTGAACAAACCATGGCTGAGATGACTCAGGGGAATAAAATTGTAAACAGACATCGCCCCCCCCCGGTCAAATCACGGCTGACTTATGGTGACCCCGTGGGGTTTTAAAGCGGGGGATGTTAGGAGGTGGTTTGCTATTGCCTGGGTCCACATCACAACTCTGGTATTCCTTGGTGGGCTCCATTCCAAATACTGACCAGGGCCCACCCTGCTTAGCTTCCAAGAACCAACAAGCTTGGGGTAGCCGGGGCTATCTAGGTCAAGACGAACAGACATATTGGTCCATGTAAAATCCAAAAAACAAGCACAAAGTCTCTGTAGCACCTTTTTATTAGGGCAAAAGCCAAATCGACAGAAAACATTGCACAAACTTTTAACCCCACCAGAACTTCATTAGGCTGGATATTACAAAACTTTAAAAGTAGGAGGCAGGGGAGCAGATTTTCCAGACCATGGCCCTGTTCATACGAGCCATTTTGGGCCGGGAGTGGGCCGGATTGGAAGCGCGGCAAACGGGAGCGATCCGACGCCAACATCTGCCTGGCGTTGCGCTCCCGTCTCCGATCCGGCCCTTCCCCCGATGATGCACGGCAAAAATGAACCACCTACCTTCGGTGGTTCATCCGTTTGGACTGCATCATCCTGGGTGTGGGATCGGCGGCGCGTCTTTTCGCCACCGCATCCCCGGCCCCCTGCCGTACTGCGCATGCTCGAGCATGCGCAGTTCGGCAGCCTCCCCCTCCCACTTGTATCTTCCTCCCCGGCATCTGATCGTGCTGGGGAGCAACGACGCGTGGCTAACGGGATCCATGGGATCCCGCTGCGGCGTTTCCTTTTTTGGTGCGGCTTTTAAAAGCCGCGCTTTGCCCCGTTTTTTCCCTGCCGTGTGGCAGGGGCCCATGATGTTCAGGGCGGAACTTGCTGTCCTTCTTTGCAGAACACAGGCAGGTGCATAGCTTAATTTCAGTGCTGTTTTTAGGTTAAAGCACATCTTCTGGGAAGAAGCTAGTGATGGAATCTACTCTTCGTGGACTCATTGAACATCCCTAGGCCAGTAAAAATTTGCCTTTAATTGACTCTATACCTGGGGCATCCCATTCTATTTATCTGTTCTTTTAAATATGAAGACTACCAGGTACTTGGTCTTTCTTTTGCTCTCAGACTGCAAGGGGACAGTGTGGGTTTGTCCTCATTTTCATTTCCCTCACTCGTGTGTTCCTGTTTCTTGGGGAGGGGGGTTTCCTGTTTCACATGTGTTTTGCTCCCTCTAGTGAATACCAGAATTTTATTGCGTATATAGCTAAAGGCCGTCACAATACAGAATTAGAATAATAAAAAGAAAATAATTCTAATCATACATAGGTAAAACAGCGCTTAGAAAGCATTTTCGCACCAGTAAATACGGACCAGTCATAAACAGTAAAATTGTAAAATAATAACCCAGTTAGTCATAAAAAGGTTAATTTTCTGAAGCTGCAGTCTTAGGCCTGGTTTTTTTGGCGGCCAAGGCAAAAAGAGACACTTTATAACTGACGAGCGGATCAGTGTCAGATAACAGAAAGACCAGCTTGTCAAAGTCAGAGGGGAAATTTTGTCCTGTTAGCGGATCATCAAGAAATTTAGATCTAACTGCTGTATACCTAGGACAAAATAGTATATAGAGAAGAATGTCCCGTGGGACTGAGGCACCACATATACAAGAGCGTAAGCTGCGGTGGCTCAAGTGGTAAAGACCCTGAACTGCAGGCTGTGGAAGGTCAGTAGTTCAGCCGTTCAAGACCCAAGTGTGCCGCATGACGGAGTGAGCTCCCATCTCTAGTTCCAGCTCCTGCCAACCTAGCAGTTCGAAAGCAAGAAATTGCAAGTAGATAAATAGGGACCGCTTCGGTGGGAAGGTAACAGCGTTCCGTGCAACTTGGTGTTTAGTCATGCCGGCCACATGACCACGGAAACGTCTTCGGACAGCGCTGGCTCTTCGGCTTTGAAAGGGAGATGAGCACCGCAACCCTAGAGTCGGATTCGACTGGATTTCGAGCAAGGGAACCTTTACCTTTAAGGCCAGTGGTATTTGAGTGGCTGATTCAATATCACACAGGTTTACATGTGGCACATTTCTCTGAAGATTTAAACTGCGGGTTTTTATGCTGGACAGTAATTAGTATAATATCAAATCGGCTGCTAGAGGGAGCTAAACATGTGCAGAACAGGGGTGGAAACCCAAAGAAACAGGAACTTTCCAGCCAGGAAAATGAGAATCCAGAAAAGTGTGTCTCAGTTAGAAGCTGAGAGGATTCTGGATGGATTTCAGCTGGTTTTTGTATTTCCAAAAAGTGAGTGAACAAAGAGCACCCATCAAATGAGCTGAACCTTCCCAGAGGATGCTCTGTCACCTGACACCAGAAATAAAGTTAAGCTGTCTTCCTCCACCTGCCTCACTGAGGAGGTCTGCAAGGTCGGTTCTTAACATCATGGCCTGAAATATCTAGTTCCCACCTCTCTGGGCAGGGGTCATTTCCTGCGGGAGCGCGCAGGAGCGGAGCTCCGGCAGTAAAGAGCCCAGGGGGGCGGGCACATGCAACAAGCCCCGCCCCCTGCTCCCAGCAGCCCTCAGTTGGGCCATGAGGAGCAAGAAGCAGCCAGGTAAGTTGCAGAGCCGCCCCACACCGCCTTCAGGTACAAGCTCTCCCTCCTCTGTGAGGACAGATCTGCTTGTTCCCCCCCCCCCATAGCTAGCAATCCAAAACAGTCCAGTGGAGCCTGAGTGGTGGGTGTTGCCTTCTGACCAGAGGTCATTTCGGGTGGATCGCAGGGGATCGCAGTTCCACCGAGTGAGGTACGGGGGGGGGCACATGACGAAGCACCGCCCCCTGCTTCCGGCCGCCCCGCTTCCGGCCCTCATTCAGCCAGGAGGAGGCAGGAGAAGAGGGAGGGTAAGTTGCTTCCTCCCTGCCTCTCCCCACCCCTGCCTGCCTGGGGCCAGGGAGGGCCTTCGCGGGGCTTCCTTGCACTCCTGCCGGCCTTGCAGGTCCACTGTCAGGCCCCTCATGGGGCTCGGCAGTGGAGCTGCAAGGCCGGTGGTGGTGGCTGGGACCGTTGGGGGTGGGGTGTGTGGCCTTATGACACATTTCCGGTGATGTCAGGGGGTGTGGCATATGCTAATGAGTTATGCTAATGAGTTCCCCTAGCTCTTTTTCTACGAAACGACCCCTGCTTCTGACACACTTCCGGTGATGTCGTGGTGTGTGGCATATGCAAATAAGTTATGCGAATGAGTTATGCTAATGAGCTCCTGCACCTCTTTTTCTACAAAATGACCCCTGCCTCTGGGTATTTAAAATTTGATCACATTCAGTCTGATGAAGAGTTCTGGTGAGCCCCAAAGCTTGTGCAATACTTTGTGTCAGTTTGGTTGCATGCTGTTCTTGGTTTTTTGAGGCGCTTCAGCCAGTTCTTCTAATGTGCACATTCCAGAATAGAATGTCACATAAGGAAAGATGGCACAGGAAGACTGATGCACATAAAAGAGTAGTGGGGACCAAAGTTCTAAAATGCACTTCTTTAGTGTTAGGCCGAAAAAACTGCCACTCGGAAGACACTGGCTGGGTTCATTGGCTGCTTTGTGCAGTCCCGCCCAGCGTTCCAAGGTCATTTACATATGGAAGCTGATTGGACTACACTCCATTCCACACCTCAGACTCACCCCCCCCCCACAAGGCAGTTGGAATTTTCAGTTGGGAGAGTAGAATGATGTCAGCTGCTCCCTAGGCAGAGGCTGTGTGTGTGTGTGTGGGGGGGGGTTGTAAAGACAGACAGGCAGATAAACGTTGGCTGATGGTTGCCAACTCCAGGTTCGAACTCCAGGACATAGGGTTGCCAACTCCAGGTTGGAAACTTCCAGGATATTTTAGGGATGAAGCCTGCTGAGGGTGGGATCTGAGGAGGAGGAGGAAGAGGGGGACCTCAGACAGATACAATGCCATGCTGCCCACACTCCAGACAAGCTGTTGCCAGTCTCCAGGTGACAGCTGGAGAGATCTTAAAGCTTTGGTGCTACTTCAAAGTTCCCTAGAAGCCCAAAACAGAGTAGTGTTTTGGAAAATCTTGAGGAATTGTTTGGTGCATTTACGATGGGGCTCCTGGGGAACTATTGTTGCCAATCTTGGCCCAGCAGCCATCAAACCATTCTCTTCAACCCCCTGCTGTGTAGCTGACTTCCCCCTAGGGTTGCCAATCTCCTGGTGGGACCTGGAGA